CCGTAGCAGATGGCGAATTTTGCATTCAATTTTTAAAAATCCAAAATTAAAATCTGGCCTAATGGCAATCATGTAACCATTGTTGATTGCCATAAATTCCAGCTGGCCATATCCCCATACCTCTTGTGGACTGGATGTGACAGTAAACTCACAGCATTGTGGTTGACTCTTGGCTGCGCTCTAGTCGATTACAAAGGGGCTATAAATGTTGGCCCAGCCAGTGACATTCTCATGTCATGAAACAAAACATGAAATATCCATCTACAAACTTCACGTCCTCCAAAGTCACAGAGTCATTGAGTTTTTATAATATGAAATGAGGCCTTGTGGCCTATCATATCTGTACTGGTCATTAAACATCCATCTATTCTAATCCCATTTTCCAGCTCTTGACCCACAGCCTTGTATGCTATCATGTTTTCAAGTGATCATCTAAATATTTCTTAAATTTCTTGAGGGTTTCTGTCTCTACTACCCTTTGAAGCAGTAATTTCCACACACCCTCAACCCTCTGGGTGAAAAGATTTTCCTCAAGTCCCTTCTAAACTTCCTGCTCCTTGCCTTAAACTGTGTCCCACTTGTTGACCCATGCATATAGGAGAAACGTATTTCCCTATCTACCTTGTCTATTCCCCTAAGAACTTTGCACACCTCAATCAAATCACCCCTCAGTATTCCCTGCTCTAAGGAAAAAACTCCAACAAGATCATTCTTTAAACACTGCAGTCCATTTCTATAAGCAGACCCACAAAGCTACTGGGAAGGGAGTTCAAAAATTTTTATCAAATGACTCTGCTGGGATGGATATATTTCCAAGTGAAATGGTGATTGGTTTGCAGAAGAACTTGCAGGTAATGGTGACCCCATTTGTTGTTTGCCTTTATTTTTCTAGATGGCAGTGGTCATGGGTTTGGAAGGTGCTGCTCTTGAGCGTGAGTATGTGTCTTCACATCACTCTTCCTCAAATGATCAAGTTAAACAAGTCAATAGGCATCTGGGCACGAGGCAGCCAGTCATTCCATAATTGTTCTAGACACAGTCAGACATGGAGCAACAGGTCAAGGAAATGTCAGATAGTGACTACATAGTCAGGGATCAACTTATTGAAAATTTCATAGGCGTTCTAGACTCATAGTGGAGTCCAGAATCCATTGAGGTTAGATATGTTGGCATAAGAGAAATATTCCATATTTTTAACAAGTTGGAAACCTGCAACTATATAGAATTGGCAGAAATGTTTTCTGTTTTTTATCATGATTGAAAAAGAGTTTAAACTGCAAGAGCCAGTGAAGTTTGTGAAGGGATGCAATTTTTTTTCTCATTTACTCATGAGACACTCATGGGCATCACTGAGTAGCGAGCATTTATTGCATGTGCTTCGTTGTTCTTGAGGTGAGCTTCTTTCTTGAAGTGCTGCAGTCCCAGCAGGTAGACCACAACCACAATGGCTGTAGGGAAGGAATTCCAGGATTTTGATCCAATGACATTCAAGCATTAGTGATATATTCCCAAGTCAAGATGGTGAGTGGCGCAGAGAAGAACTTGCAGGTGGTAGTGTTCCCGCTGCTCTTGTCTTTCTAGATGGAAGTGGTTGTGGGTTTGGAAGGTGTTGTCTAAGGATCTTTGGTGAAATTCTGTAATATTTCTTGTTAGGTATACACACTGCTCCTACTGAATGTCTGTGGTTGACACAATGGATGCTTACAGATGTGCTACCAATCAAGAAGCTGTTTTGTCTTGAATGGTTTAAAGCTCCTTGAATGCTATTGGAGCTGCACTCATCCAGGTAAATGGAACAATTCCACCACACTCCTGACTTGTGCCTTGTAGATGGTGGACAGGATTTGTGCTGTTAAGAAGTGAGTTACTTCCTGCAGTATTCTTAGTCTCTGACCTGCTCTTGCAGCCACAGCGTTTATGTGGCGAGTCCAGTTGAGTTTCTGGTCAATGGTAACCCCAGGATGTTGACAGTTGGGGATTCAGTGATGATAACACTGCTGAATGTCAAGGGATAATGGTTAAATTGTCTCTTACTGAAGACTGTCATTGCCTGGCATTTGTGTGGCATGAATGTTCCCTGCCATTTTTCAGCCCAAGCCTGGATATTGTCTAAATCTTGTTACATTTGAACATGGACTACTTCAGTATCTGAGGAGTCACAAATATTGTTGATCACTGTGCAATCATTTGGCCAACATCCCCACCACTGACCTTATGATGGAGGGAAGGTCATTAATGTAACAGCTGAAGATGGTTGGGTCTATGAAACGACCCTGAGGAACTCCTGCAGCTGAGATGACTGACTTCGAACAACCATAACCATCTTTCTCAGTGCCAGGTATGACTCCAACCAATGGAGAGTTTGTTCCCATTGATTTTAGTTTTGCTAGGGCTCCTTGATGTCACACTTTGTTGAATGTGGCCTTGATGTCAAGGCCTGTCACTCTCAATTCACCTCTGGAATTCAGCTCTTTTGTCCATGCTTGAACCAAGGCTGTAACAAGGTCAGGAGCTGAGTGGCCTTTGAGGAATCCAAACTGGGCATCAATGAGCAGGTTATTGTTCAGCAGTTGCTGCTTGATAGCACTGTTGAAGACACCTTGCATCACTTTACTTTACTTCTAATGAGAGCAGACTCAATGGCCAGATTGAATTTGTCCTGCTCTTTATGTACAAGACATACGTGGGCAATTTTCCACCATGTCAGGTAGATGGCAATGTTGTAACTGTACTGACACAGCTTGGCTAGGGGGGTGGCACGTTCTGCAGCACAAGTCTTCAGTCCGGGGAAAATGCAAGCTTCCAACTCAACCAACAAGTTGAAGTTCAGTGTCTACATGCTTCTGCAAAACTTTGCTGGCAGTTTGGGAATAAGGATCTGCTCACACTGATTGAAGATGGGCTGCATAAAACTCCATGGGAAACCACCAATGAGATGGGATGATCAATGTCCACAAATGCAGGACATGGTCAAAACAGATTTTCTGGCTCAGAGATCTAAGATATTGCAAAAAAAAAGTTCCTGTTTAAAAAGGAAGAAAATTCATCAGATTAAGGGCCCACCAGTTGTTGGAATGGAGTGATTGCCTAGTTCTGCAGGAAAGAAATTGTCTGTGAAGGAAATTCACAAGATAAGAGGTCTCCCAGTTTAAGGGAACTCTACACATCTCATACTCTCAAGAACAGAATCAAGATGCATGGTCTTCAAGTCAAGAACTACCAATCTTCCATGACTTGCAGAGCAGCGGAACCGTCTGACTGTCTCAATGTGTAAAGTCAGAGAATTCAGAGGGGAGGTTGCGGGGAGGGGGAATGGGTAGTGGTAATTTTTAAAAAAATTTGTTTGTGCAAAGTGGGTGTCGCTGGCTGGCCAGCATTTATTGCCCATTTCTAGTTGCCCTTGAGAAGGTGGTAGTGAGCTGACTTCTTGAACTGCTGCAGTCTATCTGCTGTGGGTGCACCCACAATGCCATTCAGGAGGGAATTCCAGGTTTTGACCCAGCAATAATGAAGAAACAATGAAGAATATTTCCAAGTGGCTTGGAAGAGAACTTGCAGGTAGTGATGTTCCCATGTATCGGCTGCCCTTGTCCTTCTACATGGAAGTGGTTGTGAGCTTGGAAGGCACTGTCTGAGGATCTTATGTAATTGTATACATGAATGTATAAATACTAATAATGGAAAACTTTGTAGGGGAGATGCTCTCTAAGATGTACAGCTTTGACAGAGTTTAATGCTAAGGGTGTTAAATACCACTCAATCTGATGAAGTCATATTGACTTGGGTGAGATAGCTGCTTTGGACTGTGAAGGAGATAAACCTACCATCTCGGTCACCAGTATTCTCCCGGTAACAATGTTTAAATACTAACATAATTTGCACTTGCTTGCTAACATGCAATAAACTACATCTTATTTAAGACAAAAGCCTGTTCTCATTAGACTGTCAAGTGGATTTATTTTACCACATTATTATGATCAGGTACCTGAGATCTGAACCTCAAAGGAGAATGGAGGCAGCAAACTAATTTGATACTTCATGTACCTTTCATCAATGTGACTGGGTTGAGGATCTATCAAACAACACACCACTCCCTGAAGAAGAGAAGCCAGGAGCAGAATGGCAGATAATTTCTCAGTGTGACCAAGATATGAAGCCCAAGGGGAGTGCTGGGAGGTTGGAAGGTGCTGAAGGTTAACATGCACAGACTAGTGGGAGGACACCCAGGAGGGGTGGGCCTTGGGGTGGCTTACCTTCAGAAAAGGAACCCTATGAAGGAGATAGCCTGGTCCTTTTTCACCTGAGGTCTCAGCAGGCTAACCAAGCCTGCTTCCAAACCATCATGATTCTCCCCTACCAACCGTAAATTGAGTCTGGATGAAAAATGTTCTTAAGGGGCCAGTTAATTGGTGACTATTTGGTATATGGGCCAAAGGGCCACCTGAGGCTTTGCGCACTGCCCATTTAAATTGTGGACAAAACAGGGGTGGGCAGATAGGCTGCAGGTATGGCACCAACACAATTTTATGGGCTCATTTCACCTCTCCTTCAGGAGACTGGAAAATTCAACCCTTAAACCAGCTGTACAAATAAATTTGATCAGTCCATCATTTCTTCAGTATGGAATTCTCTATCCTCATGTTTAAATCTCAATGTTTATATTTTCTTCGTGTTGGTAAATATTTTTATTTATAACACAAGCTAACTACTGGTGCCTGAATTGAAAACTGTACAAATGTGATGTTTAAATAATTATGTTGTATCAAATCATTACCTAGATCATTCTAAGGAATTTTTATTTTTATTTGGTGTCCAATTCAATACCGTAAACTATTAAAGTTTATTGAAGAAAGAATATTTAAGAAAATACTCCTTGTGTGGTTGCAAAATTTTATAGTTATCTAAGTGATCTATAAAGTACAAGTAGATGCTGCAGTAAAGTATATTTATACAACAAATATTCTTAATTATTAATGAAAGAAATGTCATACTGGAATTACCTGAGAAATGAATAGTCTCCACCACTGGTAAATGGTTTCCAACATCTGTGGATGTTTTTGGTTCTGGGGTTGCATATTGAGAAGAATCTGAAAATTTAAATTACACAAATCTTAGCAAAGTCACTCCATAGTAGTTTGACTTCTAAAACAATTGTTAAAGCAAAATCGGCCCGCATGGTTAATTTAAACTATATTTTCTTTTTGTAATCCATAATCGTATATATTTTCTATTAGACTTCCCTCTTGGATATCTCTTTTCAAGGTCTAAAAGCTACAGCTTCTCCATTATTTCCTGAAACTCAGACCTCAAACACTATAGAGTTAGCCTTTTGGTTGCTCTGCACCATCTCCAATTCCAAATGTCTTCTCTTTTGTTTTGATCAAAACAGTACACATGCAAACATGGGTGTTTAACTGACTTGAAGCCTCCATCTGGAACCAGAATGAGCCCAATGGGCTAAGTGACTTTGTTGTGTGTTGTAAATGAGTCTATAACATCACCTAAGGTGGCCCAATTAAAGCACTCTACAATTTGATCAAGGCCTTCTCTTACTTACATTCCAATAGTTTGTGTACATTGTCCATCGTGCCATCGATTTCCTGCTCCATTGGCTGAACCTATTGAATGTTGAACCTGCACACATCTGACTTATAGCTTTCCAAGACAGTAGAATTATAGTAAAAGCAATAACAAATACAGGAAAAGCAACATCAACTTCATGAGTGTATAAATTGTCTGCTAAGTGCATGACAGTAAAGATATCCCCCCTTAAGTTTCTAACATGACAAAAAGTCCCACATCATGCTTATGTTACATCCCACCCACCACAGAACTACACTGTTTACAGGAACTAAGCCGAAGTCACACCCAGGTTTCAATGTGTTTGCTTGTTCGGAATTCACTGCGTTTTAACACCCAGTGTCTATCACAAGTCATTTCCCTTACTCCCTTCCCTTAACTGACTCCAGTAATTCATATTCCCAGGCATGCCACAACAAATACTCCAATGTACCTAAATCTCCACAGGTCCCATCTGTTTGACATTTGAGTGAGCTCCCACCACATCCTGTCTGATGGCTAAAAGGGAACCTTTCTTTCCCATTTGCCGTCTGTTTCTCTATCTTTCCCATCCAGGTCCCCAGAATTAAAGGCAGTTGCTCCTTTTTTTTGTATCCATATGTGAAAGCTGAAACTTGAGTTTGAATAAGACTTGCTCTGTCCCTCGGCAACTAAACCAAACAGGTTTGCCACAAGGCAGAAGAAGCAGAAGGTCATCTTGTCAACTGTGTTTTCAAATCCCACCCAATCCTTGCTCGTTGCTGTCTCTACTCTCCTCCAACTCCACAATCTTCCAAAATATCTGTGTTCCTTTAATTCTGGCCTGTTGTTCACTCTCAGTTGGAATTGCTAGTGACACAAAGTGAATGGGAAGAGTGAGTAGACAGTGGAAGGACTTACAAAAAATTAAGACAAGTTAAAAAGAGAATTGCCAACATCGACCGCTACCCACGATAAGTAACCAGCTGGAAGAAAAACCGAAAGAACTGCAGATGTTCTGAAGAAGGGCCACCAGACCCAAAACATTAACTCTGATTTTTTCTTCACAGATGCTGCCAGCCTGCTAAGCTTTTCCAGCAACTTCTGTTTTTAATCAGCTTGAAGCCCTGGGTAAGGGTGTCAATGAATTGAAATAAATGGTTTGGAAAGACAGATAATGAGTGAGGAATCAATAGAACTCAACATTCAATATAAGTCATCAAAACAGATTAGTCATCAAAACAGATTAGTCATCAAGAATACCAATAGATTAGTCAAAAAAAGTTAATGCAATAGCATACAATACAGAGGAAATGCCCATCAGAAAATTGTGTAAGAGTCCCAAGTACCAATGCAAAAAGAGGAGTTGGAAATAACAATAAAAATAGGAAAGTAGAGAACCATACAAAAGAGGTTGTTCCATTACAATAGATCACCTTTTAATGTTCGTAAGTTAAAATAACTTGCGGGCTGATTCTTCTCAATGTGATATCAATGACCACATCCTTTCCTTGATTCAGACAGAACTCACAGAACTGTGGGAAAATAATTCATTGACTATAAATGTATTCTGAAAAATATAACTAGGTTTTATAACTCGAGGTTGGACAAGTGATTGGGGCGGCGAGAATGACGTTGTTCAAGTTCATCATTCTCCAGTTTCAGCCTCTTCCAATAAAAAATTCAAAAACAGATCGGATGTCGTGCTGCAGAATCTGCTTCAATTCGAACTGCAACCTACAGCAACCAGCATCCGAGAGTAACCCTTTACTGTTATAACGCAGTCTGCCCAGGAACTCAGCACACACGCTCGACCAGATGTCCACCAAGGCAATCTTAACCGGAAGTACAGTTTTGTTTCAAATATTAAAGCTAAATTTGGAATCTCAGAATCCAGCTCTGCAGCAGCAATTGATCCCTTTCCAACCCTACCTCTCTGCCCAAGCATGATGTGGATTGTGTAGGATACAAGTCATTTTACAGTAACAACTTTCTACTTAGACACTGCTGTCGGATTATAAAGCACCTCGCATCATTAGCGGGATGTTACATCTCAAGTAAACCTCATTATTGTTCGAAGTCCTTATGTTATAGTGACAGCAGTGAATCCCGCACATAAATTTGTCTGGCAAATGTACTCCAGCGACCTCAACCGGATATTTACTTAAAACACTCAAAAAAAAGTCTTAGAGACATGCATTGTGTCTAAGGTGGCCCCCGCCCCTTGTTAACTCTGACAAAAAATAGTTTAGCATCTTCCCACGTTTGATGAGTGCGTGTGGTCAGTAGCAGGCGAGAGGCTGCAATGAGATGGCTAGGTAACATCAGAGGAGAGAAGCCGAATACCCGGTGTATGCAGCACTGTTCCTGGCAACCACTCCCCAACTGAATTTATTCGCATTGAATCAACCGCATACACATCAATCCACCGCGATCCACCATTTCTCTCAACACAGGAGACCGCACCGCCTTATAGAGCGAGCCCGGAGCTGCTCACAACATCTCCTGGTGGTCCCAGTTGCATTTATATCAATTCATTATCCAGTTCCATGTCGAAGACGACAACAGCCCACAAACCCGGTCCCTGGCTGAAAATCAAACAGTTCTGGAGCATTTACCTGATTCAACCTGATCCCAAAAGGAGACAAGCAGGAAGATCACGGATAGAGTCTGTTTTATTAATAGGCCAGCCATCTCAATCTAAGGTAATGACTTTTCGGTGGGATCTCCTCTCGTCGTCTTCTGTTAATGGTACCTTTATTTCCCTATCTCAGACCGCTCTTTTCCTAGGACCTCCTCTCCATCTTTGTCTCCTCCAGATCCTTCTGAAGGTTAAAACGTGTGCATCAAGTAATCGACAGTCCTCAAGAGGGAACCCTGCTCTCAAAGAGCACTAACGTTCCTGACACTGACCGGCTTGGTGGACAAAGAGTTATTGGGGACATAGTGTCATACTACGAGTGTCATGATTGGATACAAAGAAATCCGCATTTTCCTGAATTTCATGAGCATATGTGTCCCAAAAAAATGTCCCAGATCAGATTCTTATTGTTGGTCAAAAAGCCGTATTGTTGATCTGAATAAATATTTTGCTGTTTTTAGAAAAACAAGATTGTTAGTGGTAGTACAACGAGATCTTGCAATTTTTGTCACTATGATCTGGACTGAACTACATAAATCTGAGATAGTAGGAACTGCAGATGCTGGAGAATCTGAGATAACAAGGTGTAGAGCTGGATGAACACAGCAGGCCAAGCAGCATCATAGGAGCAGGAAGGCTGACGTTTCAGGCCTAGACCCTTCATCAGAATTTTTTTTCTCTCCTTACAGAATCACAACTTACTCAGTGTCATAGGGAATAGTCATTGCTGTTCCACAATTCAATAAGGTCATGCATCATTTGTACCTCAACTCCATTTACCAGCGTGACTTCAATAAAAGCTGTTGATGTCAGTATTGAAAGCTCACATTGTTTCAGCTTCTATCATTTTGGGGGTGGGGAAGTCAACAGTGCTAGAATTCTACTCCTTTGTGTGGAAAGTACCTTCTTGATTTGATTCCTACATGTCCTAGATCTAATTTGAAGATTTAATCCCTGTTTTTTTCCTTGTAAGTTTGGTATGACATAGACAAACCACTTGAAAACAGTCAATCATCCCAGTTCTCCAGGATTCCACCCACCTTCCACTGGAGAACCACCAGAAATTGCCGGAAATTATTTAATATATTTTAGATGTAACATCATACATAATCTCAGTTTTGTTTACCCCCATTCATCTTTCAAAATTGTACATTACCAGCTGTACTGTACATTGCAAATCATTACATGTTCTATTATTCCAAATAGAAATTTAGCTACAACAGTAGCAGACATGATATACCACAAATTGATATTGTAAAATCCAAGTGAAGTGTTCGGGTCGACAGAACCAGGAATCAGAGACACTGTACAGAATGAGGACAATACAACAGAAAATGAAAAGAAAGGATATCAGGAAATCATGCTAAGCGTAATATCTAGCTTGGACTTTAAAGCAGATTGTAAAAGGGAGGGAAGACTAAAAGGGAAAAGAAACATTTTCATATGCCTCAAATGTGTACAGGACATAGGATAAAATGCAAAAAAGGTGTCGAGCACCTTGAGACTTGCCGTTGGAAAAAAGTAGAAGCCAGGCGAAAACACCAAAAGGAGTGCAATGCCACATCAATGCCCCACCCACCCCTTCCTGTGACCACCACCTGTCCCAAGTTTAACAGCCTGCGGTAGCTGCATTGGTCTATACAGCCACCTATGGACTCACCCTGAGAGTGGAAGAGAGTCATCTTCGTATGCAAGGGACCCCCGCTGATGATGGTGATGACAGTATCTATTCATAAGAGTGGTTGCACTATTCATGCACAAATGAGTCAGTCCTCAACGTGCCACAGCAGTAATGCAGCCTTTAAAACAATGCTGTGTGAAAATACTACAAAGTGCATGAAACCAGCAGGAACATTACTGAGTATATTATGAGCATCTTGGAACAATGTTCCAAATGCCTGGATAGATTAAGGCACATATTACAATATTGTTCCACCAGGGTCCTCCAAGATTATGGTTTTCTGCAGCAAGATACATACAGTTAGAAAGCACCCACTGACAGGAAAAACTGAAGTGTCCATCTGTTGTTTATCAGAGAAAGTGCTGGGATGGAGAAGAATTTACAGTGGGAAAGGGAGGATCATTGGTAGTGGTCCATGTCGATATCAATGACATAGGTAAAACTAGGCAACAGGTTCTGCTGAGGGAGTATGAGAATTTGGATGCTAAATTAAAAAGAAGAACCCCAAAGCTAATAATCTCTAGATTACTGTCTGAGCCACAAATGATGCATTATATTCAAGAAGACATGGCTCAAAGATTGGTGTGAGAATGGTGGCTTTGAGTTCTTGGGCACTGGCAATAGTACTGGGGAAAGTGGGATCTGTATCATAGGAACAATCCAAAGCTGAACCACGCTGAAACGGATGTTCTTGCCAGCTGCCTAATTAGAGAAATGCAGAGGGTTTAAACAAACAAGGGAGAGTGGGGCTTGGGGAGTGAGAAATCTGCTTGAGTAATTGTAATACATAAATTGTAATAGAGTCAAGGCAGGCAGGGGGACAAAATACTAACATTGGAAAATGAAGATCAAAGAATTGCAGGAAGGGACAGAGTGAAAAATTCTCAGAATTATTCAGCTGTCAACATTATATCTTACAAAGGTGACAAGTAGCAAAACTGAAGACTCTGTGTCTTACAGCATGTAATATTCATAACAAGAATGGATAGTGCACACTGAAGTGAACAAACATGATCTGATAGCTATTACAGAAATGTGACTATTGAATAAATGGTATACGATACTCAAGAAAAATAAGAAGCTAGCTAAAGATGGAGGATTAGCACACCTAATCAACATTAGCATTGGTGTGATAGTTATCGATAACTTTGGTTCATGGGATCAGGTTGTAAAGTCCACTTGGATGGAGGTGATGGATATAGGGGAATTAAGTCACTTGTGGAAGGAATCTACATACCTCTGAGCGGTAACCACAATGTAGGCTGAATTATGCAAGATGAAATATTGGGTGCTTGAGAGAAAAGGATGGTAACAATTATGGGTAATTTAATTTTCATATAAATTAGAAAAATCAGAATGGTAATAATAGCCTAGATAATAGTTTCTCAGAGTACTATGTTTTGGACCTGACCAGACAGTAGGCTATATTAGACTTAGCATTGTGTAATCTGACAGAATAATTTAATGACCTCAGAGGAAAGTTACCTCTAGATAGTGACCATAAAACTTATAGAATGTTACATCCAGTTTGAAAGGGAAATGTATGGATCAAGTCTAGGATATTACATTTTTTAAAAAAGAATATCTATGTGAAAATGAAAGCTGAGCTAGCTTTCTGCAGTGAACTGGAACATTAGGCTAGCAGATAGATCAGTAGAGAAACAGTGGCAGACATTTACAAGGATACTCAAAATAAATACAATCTTACTATAAAGAAAAATTCCAAAGGCGGGAGAGTTCACCGTTTGTGGTTTACTAAAAGAGTTAAGGAGAGCATAAAACTTAGAGGGGAAATGTATAATCATGCAAAGTTGAGTGGCAGGTAAGATGACTGGTCATTGTACCAAGATTGACAGAGAATGATTAAAAGGTATTCAACAGTAATACAGCACAAGAGGAAGCTAGATAGAAATGTAAATCATATAGTAAGAGTTTCTACAGATACCTTAAAAGGAAATAGTAAGTAAAATAAGCATTGGTCATCTAGAAGCCGAGAATGGGGAGTTAATAGTGGATAATAAAATGGCAGATATAATGAAGAAATATTCTGTTGTTGTCATCACTATGAAGGACACAAAAACATCCCAGTAAATACCTGTAAATTTGGAGGTCGAAGAAGGAGAGATACTTGTTGAAATTATAATCACTGGGGAAGCATTACTCAGCAAACTGATGGTGTTGCAGGTTGATAAGTGGCTGAGTCCTAATGGATTTACTTCTAGTGCCTTAAGAAAAAGCGGTTAATGAGGTGGTGGGTCTATTGCTGTTAATTGTCCAATGTTTGTTAGCTTCTGGAAAAGTTCCATAAGACTGGAAAATAGGAAATCTAACACTTTTGATCAAGAAAGGTGAGAGGCAGGAAACAGGAAACTACAGGCCAGTTAGCTTGGTGTCTGTCATGAGTAAGCTATTTGAATTGATCGTCAAGCAGGTTACAACTGGGCAAGGTAATCAAGAAGGGTTAGTGTAGGTTTATGAAAGTTTATTTTTAATCATTTTATTGGAATTCTTTGAAGGAGTAATGTTTATGTGGATAAAGGGGAATCAATTGACGTTTTGTACTTGGATTTCCAGAAGGCATTGGACAAGGTGTTCCAAAAAAAGTTATTGCTCAAGGTAGGAGCTCATAATGAGGGGTAGCATGCTAGTATGGATAGAAAATTGGCCAACTGGCGAGAAACAGAGCTTATGCATCTAAATGTGTCATTTTCAGATTGATGTGTAGGGCCCTGTTGGCGTCTATGCTGGGCCCTCAAGCCAGTGCAATTGGGCATGCCCCTTTTTCATTGCCATATGCTAAGCTTAAATGCCCACTGAATGTTAATGGATGGGCAATTAGTTGTGGATAACTGAATGGAAATGGTGGTAAGTGTGGGTGAGGTAAGTAGGTAGCATGGTAATGTGGCAGTTAGATTATGTGCAACGTAGATGAGGTGAATCAAGTAATGTGTGTGGCAGTTCCATGGAACACGGATAATGCTTTCGCATAGCAAGAACCCACAAGTGCAATCTTTTATTGTCGGCATTCTGTTGCACTGTGGCCACCACACAGTTCTGGTTCAATGGGAAACACTCCCACTCTCACTACCTGCTGTAGGCATATCAGAAAGATTTACAGATTGGTAGTTGACCTGCTTGGCTGCTATAAGCACACATTCCATGGCCCATCGCGGCCTGGGTGGGACTTGTACTGGAGCTTCTAGCTCAGAAATAGGGAGTCTCCACTGTATCAGTAGAAATTGGTCAATCAGAAATCCTTGGCTAGGTCAGATGGGATTGTCAGTCCAGGAGCTCGGCAAATCAGGACGTGGGGTACTCAGGTGGTCAGGGATTAGTATTGTCAGAAGAGGTAGTTGGGTCAAGTTGGGTCGG